TTTTTCTGCTCATATCTGGCGGCTATAAATGCCCGTTCTTGTCAAATAAACCAACGTTTTGCGATATTTGATGGATTCGTTGCTTTGGTGTCGGTGCAGTCGTTTTCATACACGTCTTATGGCGCATTTGGTATTAATGCCTATCAAAGCACTGCTTATTCCGTTGCGGTTTCTGTGTTTTCTGAACTAAGCTTTGGTTTTCCCACTTTTTCTTCTCTCGAGAGGGAGAAGCGCTTGCTAAAAGTGTTTTGCAACTATTCTCCGTAGCATGTGACATGCTGTGCTAGCTTGCGTGCTGTTCGCAGTTGATAAACAAACGGCAATCCAGCGACTCGTTGCTTATTCATATTTTTGGAATCTGGTATATCGCACATTTATATAGCCTGAAGCCACAGTATGTCGAGCAAGTACCTTCAACCCTTTTTTAGAAATACCCTTGATATATTGAGCCTCTTGGAATTCTGAGAAATGTAAAAAACTAACTTGATTTCGGAAATAAGGCACGAATTTGCTTTTGTAACATCAGTCCGCTTTGCTTCAAATGTTTTCAAATCTTGTCGTAGTATTCGTTTCATCAACTTCCGAATACGGAAGAAATGTCGCCCATGAGCTTTGCCTTCGCGGACGACTGATCTTCCTGCGATCTGCTGCTGCATAGATGGAAAGGAGCAGTAGCGCATAGCAATCTTTCACCCTCAATCTTCCCGATATCCCTATATCAATTCACATCCTAAGTCCACGCCATGCTTGTTCTTCAGCAGTGCGTAAGATGATTGTCGCTCTTATGTGCTAGTACTTGTCCTTCACGCAAGACATCACGATTCGTAGTTTTGTTACACGCATCGATGCCATTTGGCTGAAATTAATCTGTTTCCATTGTTACTGGAGAAAATCGTCGATATATAGAAGTCTGCAAAAAGAACCGTGCAGATTTCGCATCTACTGGATGCCTCGACCCGGATTAATTTTCCGAGAAATAGGGAGATCAGCAGCGGAAGTCTTTTTGAGGGACCAAATAAGAGTACACTTTTCGGAGATTGTACTAAATTTTTATGGTAACTAGTGAACCAGTAATCTAAAGGTGCTACTTGCAAGAGCGTTCGCTTCGGGACCGCCACGCGGTTTCCCGCTATTTGCAGATTTTTGAATTGCGCTTACGTTTCTTTGTATATTTGATCGGAAGCTTTCATTGAATATTTTGCATTTACAGCAGGTTTGCAACGGTTGTGATATAAAAGCAACGTCAAGAGCAAAAAGTAGGCATACAGCTCACTCTTCTGCGCGGAAACGCTGTACAATATTGCTTAGAATCAACAACATAAAGGCACGAAATTGGTTGAAACAAGGGCAATAAAACATGAACTGACTTCGTCTTGGAAAAATATTTTGAGTGTCGCTGCGATCTGCCCACGTAGCTGTCATTACTTTATTTGGGAGCAACATACTAGGCCAAATTTGTAGATGGTTAGGCAAGCCCCATATAACTTTTACTGCTCAGTGGGAGTACTTTGTAGTGATTATGTTCCGCTCTGGAGAACGTTCTTCGTTTCTAAACTAATTTTCTTCCACTTTTATTGGTCTATATGCGATAAACCTCGTTTGAGAGCAAATTGAATCTGCGCCACAATAATCGAAAAGAAGAATGCTGAGATTTCGTACCCGCTCTCGTTATGGAAACAGATTCTTGCTGGAGATATTCATGTCAGTAAATTTGCACAGCATCTCTTTCGCAGCAGCGCACACGGCACTATCAAATTGCGAGCAAAGATTGGCTGTTGTGGGAGGTTGAAAGCTCTCTACGTTTTCGCATCGCACAATCCCACAAGATCCTCTGAACGACTCGTTTTATTCCCTTACATTCTCTTTCCGCTTGCAATGTGCAATATCCGATGTTTGCATAGGTACAGTATGCGTTTACTTGGCCGTCATTCGTTGTAGCCTAAGAAATGCGTAAATATTTGACAATACTTTTTTGCAAGAATCATGCGGAGAGATTATTACTTCGCTCTATGTTTCCTGGAAATTGGAGTTTATTGATGGCAACAGTAAGCTTATTTGCTCATTTTTATTAGCATAGTAACGATCATATTCAAAAATCCCAAAATTACTCAGTTTACTAAAAATTTATCTTATATATAAAGCTGAATGTCTGTTTGTCTGTCTGTATGTCTGTCTGTCTGTCTGTATGTCTGTGTGTACCTATGTTCCGAATAGAAAATTCCATTTCTGAACCGATCCGGACCAAACTTGGCACACATACACTACGGGCCCCGGCGGGTGTCATAGGCTACTTTTCGTCATCGATCGATATCGATTTTATCGATTTTTATCGATTTTTTTGCTGAGTTCTCCTACGGGGCTGGGAGTTGGCACAGGGGGGTAATCGAGCATGGGGATTCCGAATACAATATTGGTTTTCAGGATTATCGATTACTTTTATCGATTTTATCGATTTTTTTGCAGAGTTTGAGCTACGGGGCTGGGAGTTGGCACAGGGGGGTAATCGAGCATGGGGATTCCGAATACAATATTGGTTTTCAGGATTATCGATTACTTTTATCGATTTTATCGATTTTTTTGCAAAGTTTGAGCTAGGGGGCTGGGAGTTGGCACAGGGGGGTAATCGAGCATGCTGATCATCCCCAAGGGGGGTGATCAGCATGCTCGATTACACCCCTGTGCCAAATTCCAGCCCCCTAGCTCAAATTTTCAAAAAATCGATAAAATCGATAAAAGTAATGGACGATCTTGAAAACTAATATTGTATTCGTAATCTGCATGCTCGATTACTCCCTGTGCAAACTCCCAGCCCCGCATGTCAAACTTTACAAAAAAAATCGATAAATTCGATAAAAGTAATGGACGATCCTGAAAACTAATATTGTGTTCGTAATCAGCATTCTCGATTACCCCCCTGTGCAAAATCCCAGCCTCGCATGTCAAAATTTACAAAAAATCGATAAAATCAATAAAAGTAATCGATAATTCTGAAAACTAATATTGTATTCGGAATCCCCATGCTCACTTCCCCCCTGTGCCAACTCCTAGCCCTGTAGGTGAACTCTGCAAAAAAATCGATAAAAATCGGTAAAATCGACATCGATCGATAACGAAAAGTGGACTGTGACACCCGCCGGGGCCCGAAGTGTATGCGTGCCAAGTTTGGTCCGGATACGGCGGAGCCGGGTAAGCCAGCTAGTGGTCTTTATAAAAAAGGATTTTGCTATTTTCATTGCTCTTCTTACCACTGCGAGCTAATCTCTTTCTAATTGTTGAAGGCACATCCCAGACGAATATGAGTACTTTCGATTATTATATACTGCTTGGAAGACATTAGCTAAGCCACAATCAAGATGCAGCTCATATGGTCCGCACAGGAAGAGTACGGTCTGGGCTGGACCGCCGAAATTTGCCTAAATAATGTCCTGAAGCTAAATTGTGCTAATTTGCAGAGTTTGCAAATCAGGATGGTATGAAAAGCTGTGAATATGCTTTTTCTCCTTGGACTTTTACATGACATTTTTCTTTCGAACCTTCTTAGCTTTGTTGAGCTATGCACACATCTAAGCTATGTTTGTTCTGTGGAGAGATGGGTTTTTACGCTCTCCCCTAGTTTTTAATGAGTTCTTCGCGCACAAAGAACGCAGCAGAGCACTTTCAATTAACGCCTCCTCAACTGCCATCGCCATCTTGTTTCTTCTTTGTTCGAATGTTGCCGGTGTAACATTCCGAAATGTCCTAGAAATTGTTCGATCTGTTAGGCTAACACACACACACAAAGAGCGATCATAATGGACGCGTGCTGAACTGTCGCACTGGAAATGGGACACACGCAGCTATGTGGTATTCAATCTATGAGGCAATGTATGCTCTGAATCACGTCATATTGTTCGCGCCTCTATCCATATCGGGTGATGACATCGCTTTGGCTATTTTTGCGCCGTTCTCCTTTGCAATTTTCTGCTTTGCTTGCTGGAAGTTTCTTTCTTCGTTGCGAGAACAAGAAGATTGATGGCGAGGGATAGCATCCTCTTTGTTGCTCCAGCTCTTGAAATAGAACTAGGGTTCTTGACTGGATAGAATTTTCTGTGCCAAAAGTTCGCTGATGATCCGGGATTTCATGACCTACCAAGGTCATTTCAACTTGCTCTATTTGTTATTGATGAGTCTGATCTCTTTTTTGTAAGAAAGGATTTCAAATCGCTGATGGCTACTCTTGTCAGTTACGAACTATGAATTTGTCTTTCGCACATCTCATAGCCGCTCCGATCGCCTCATTAGAGCTAAATTGGAATTCGAATCTTTCAGTTTTCGTATTTTCTGTTTGGCCTGTGATCCAGAGTCAGCGGAAAATGAGAAGATGACTCACATGTTCATTTCTGCTTCAGCGACCACTTGACTACTCGGTGTTAGTTACTGTCACTGTTATTCGCTGATTGCCGCTCTGTTCACCACATTGCCGTCGATTCGAAAGATGGTGTCCCAGTCAAGCCATGCGACGCCGAACGAACTGCTGGAACCACAGCCCTCGCAGCAGCCGCCGCATCGAAAAAAGAGCAAAAGAGCCGCAAACTGGGTGGCACAGGCTCGCTCCCGTGCTACTGGGACACTGCGACGCACGTTGTTCGGCCAGAAATCGAAGTCGGCTAGGGCTCGAGATGCCGAGAGTATCATACCCGAAGAGGACGATGACTATACGCAGACTAACTATGACACTGTGAAGTCATTACCGGCCACCGGTCACTATGGAAAAAGCCGTGTTGGCCATCACCTGCATGTGGACGTAGAAGGGCACCTTGGTCTACCACCAATGCCCCCATACTCCCAACCACCAGTGGTTATTCTGAAATTACCCAGAAGACGTCAAAGCGGACAGCAGTGTCGCATCTCGCCAGTAACTCGTGTCACCGTCTACGACCCAACTTTTGACTTCTATGCATGGCAGGCAGCACTTGATGAAACTGAGTGTAAGTAATTTCTACTTATCGCAAACATTTTAGGCAGCTTTATTCAACTCTTTCGACTCGATGACCATTGGCTCGGCTGTGGCTGATATAAACACCGTGTTTTTCGGTGCGGTTCGATCAGAGTCCAAAGAATATTGGGTAACTTGTTTACGAGGTGAGAAATTTCTTTGTTTTCAGATAGTCAAGATGCCGTTTACTCATTGTTCATGAAAGCCCACAGATGTTATGACCTCATTCCGACATCAACAAAATTGGTCGTTTTCGACACCCAGCTGCCGGTAAGCTTAATAACCGTATTTGATTTTTAGGTTGTGACTTTCTTTTCTTTTCGATAAAACTGTTTACGACTTTCATCAAATAATTTGAGTTGTGATTCACTTACAAATCGCATCTCTACCATTTCTTATCATCAAATGATTTTTTTTCTAGGTGAGAAAGGCATTCTTTGCACTTGTATATAATGGAGTACGGGCCGCACCTTTATGGGACAGCGAGAAGCAACGTTTTATTGGCATGCTAACTATAACGGATTTCATCAAAATCTTGATAAAGTAAGTTTTTCGTCTTTTATCTGCTTCATGTTGCGTTTGGTGTTTTCTTTCTTCTTCCCATAAAAACGCGGTTTGTTTGCGTCTGATCACGTGAATGTTTGACGACTCACTTTATAGCTTTTTGATTTTTTTTTCTTTCTTTCCTTCTTTTATGATGGCATTGATGTTTCCTGTTTTTTCAAGGCTATAAGTGCTTTTTCTATAAATTCATTGCTTTTTCTATAAATTCATACTTATGTCATTGTATCAATTACATTTGAATGGTTTTCCTTGCCAATGTTTCTTCCGACACAAATTGCCATCGCTTTTTGTAATCTGCAAAAATTCTAGGCACTACGAAGCTGGTGACAAAGAAGAGAAGATGCGAGCTCTTGAAGAGGAACAAATTAGTCATTGGCGAGAGCAGTTCGAATCTGATGAAAATGGTATTCGACCATTAGTGACGATTGACCCGAATGAAAGGTGGGGAATTCTTGATACCTGATTTTTTCGGGGTGGTTATGCATCGTTTTCAGCCTACATCGAGCTGTGCAGGTGCTTTGTGAATCTAAAGTACACAGGCTGCCTGTTATGGATAAGCATACGGGAAATATCAGTTATATTCTGACACATAAAAGGCTAATCAAATTTTTGAATTTATATGTAGGTTTTTAATTTTCGAAAGGTGTCCATCTTTTATTTTCTCATCAATGATCTTTCCTTTAAGTTACCTGATTTGCCAAGGCCAGCTTTCATGGATCAAACGCCAAAAGAATTGGGAATCGGATCGTGGGGTGATATTGTCACTATCCATGTAGATACGCCACTTCACGATGCCTTAGAAATCTTCTTGCATAATCGGGTGTCTGCTCTACCATTGGTGGATGAAAATGGACGGGTAAGTCCATCAAAGTTTTGTTTGACTCGCTTGTACACGGAAATTTTTCTTTTTTTGCTGCCTTTAGCGTTTTATTTTTCGAAAATGCTGAACTTGCTTTGTATGTTTGCAAGTATTACAAAATCAAATGTTACCCATTTGAATATCTTTTGCACTATTCACGTACTTTTAGGTTGTTGATATTTATGCCAAATTTGATGTGATCAGTCTGGCAGCTGAAAAATCGTACGATAGATTGGATTGCACAGTACAGGAAGCGTTGAAGCATCGCTCCGAGGTAAAATTGTTGTTGAAATTTGCGAAAGCATTGCATTGTTTGATTGATTTTCGGTAATTCGTTTCCTTCCCTTATGTTCATCGTTTTTCAGTGTTTCGAAGGTGTTCAGTGTTGTAGTGAAACAGATTCACTTTACGATGTGCTACGTGCCATAGTCAAAGCTGAGGTGCATCGATTCATTGTGACCGATGCGGAGAAGAAGGTCTGTCCATGGTTTCTCTCTATGTTTACTCAGTACGATGAAAAGTGGCTAACTTTCGAACGCTGTAGGAAACGTGACATAGCTCGAGTTTTGGAAAAAAAAGGAAGAGATTTTTATGTGTTTTCATTCTTGTTCCGGAATCGGAGCTTATGGGATGATGCGTAGTTGGGGTTTTCTAATAGCGACTTTAACAAATCGTAAATGAGACTTCTTGACGATGAATTTAGATGTATTACCATGCCATTCGAGTTTCGACATCTCTCATTTTTAACGAAAGGAATTCAAAATAACAAAGTTGTAAATCTTTGACCTCTGAAAAACTGCACTATGGAAAATTGTAGATAGATACCTATTTTCCAAGGAAAGTTCCACCATCCAAAAAATATCCGAGGTTCTTAGCGGGCGTGACAATAACTTAGCCCGATCACTTAGAATTCTCCGTAGATATCTATACGCATTAAAGTTTACAGTCTGCTAGTTGAGTGAAATTCACGTGGACTTTCCGAGAACATCGCAGAATATTCATATGAAAATCTGAGGATCATCCGTGTAGTTGATCTAATGTTTACATTCTAGGTTGTCGGAATAATCTCCTTGTCGGACATCCTGAAATATCTTGTTTTGGATCCAGTACATACCGCTGAAAATGAGGGAGCATCGGCTCAACGATCACCCTATGCCTCAGTCGATGACAGCCCTCCTATAGAGGGCATACCAGAAGGCGTAGAAGATTAGAGGAGGTGCACGTAAAGCATATGAGCTTGGTAAGCATTTTTCAGCTCAATTTTTCTCAAAACTCTCGGGGTTCGGTCTTTACCTTTCCGCTGTTCTTACTTTGTTTGTTACCTGCGTTACCGCGTCATCTCTTTTTTACCACTATTAGTTCTCCTTGTTTGCTACCAATACTGGCGCTTCGGAATGAACGGCTTTGTATTCTCATGGCTAGCGACTACATTTGCCGTCTCATTTGCCTAATATGAAGGAAAATGTAGCAACCAAGCGGCGGTAGCGGAAAATAGAATACAAAGCCATCCAAAGCGCTGCTGTTACTGTGAGAACGGCTACAATTAACAGCGGTGACACTGGTAACATTGCTACCAGCGGCAAAGTATATCCGAACCTTCAGTTCTCCTTTCATCGTGTGTTTTTATTTATGTAAAACATCTGTTTTCAGCCATTGATTTCACACGCGTTGCATCTGCAGTGACTTACTACTGTACATACCTGATCTTCTCAGCGATGAATCTCAGGTCCAGTTCCGCCGTTAACGCCATGTAACCGATTTACACAGCAGTTGTGGTTTGTCACAAGCTGTTGACATCAGCAGAAAAAAAAAACAGAGAATGAGTATCTACACAGCTCAAAAAAAGCGGACAAAGATGTGTGACACCACTTCATAATGTATGCATGTATATTTATTTTGCTCCCTACATCTACGGTGTCATTGGTATGCGTAGTATATACTATCTGTGCTTCGATATAAGCGAGCAGCTTGCGTTTCATACGTGGTTTATGATGGGTTCGAATCGTTGTAAGCTTCCAAACATCCTTGTATTGCTATCGAGATCACTAATTTGGATTATGTTTCGTACCTATCATTGGGGGCAATTAGGCTGTGTTCAGAGTTGCCCGTGCCGGCGCCGTTCCAATGCCGTGCCGGTATCTCGTGTCTTAGGTCTGTCGATCAATACGCAGTGCGTAAGGGCTGGCACAGCAATGGGACGGCATCGGTACAGGGGTGATTCTGGATGCGGCTTTATTATCGAGTGAAATTCGTCACTGACTGCAAATTTTTCTTCTATTGTTAACATCTTCTGCTCTCTACCGCACCCTCTGATCGTTCTTTGCGCCATTAGCACTGAATTTAGCACTGAGGACACTGAGCACTTGTCCGCCGCCTTTTCTCCCTCTTCACCCTCCTTACAACTGCCTGTTCTCAACCTCAGTGTAGTGCTATGTATTGGCTCTGCTCTTGAATTGTCTATGTTGTGATACGCGCTTTTTTCCTTCCTTCTGACTCCTCTCTTTGTCTCTCGCTGTCTCGTAGTACCTAATTGTACCAAAAATGTAGAGTTGTACATAGTGTTACTTTCTGTAACGTATCCTCGTTGCTATAATACATTTTAATTGAGATAGCAGTTCAATTACATTGTGTGCTGTTTGTCAACCGTTTGTAGCAGTTTTTAGAGCTTGTTTTTTGATCTACTTTCTAGGTGTTTTTGTCAGTTAGTGCAGATATTTTCCTCCAAAATATCACTTCATGTGCCAGCTGTTATTTCCACTAAACAAAACGCAATGCAGATAGCCGAAAGGGTTCTAAAAAGAGATGGGCTGCTCTTTTTTTGCTGAAAAACTCGCTCTTTTTTCTCACTGTAATTTTTCAGTACTTCATTTTGTTTGACATCTTGTTATGTTCATCATTATTGTGCTGCTTCCTTAGGCAACTTCGACGTTGTCATACGGATTTCGCTTGACGGGACCATGATATTTTTTACGTGCAAAGATACCCGTATCTATCCTCGTTTGTTCAGTACTAAACTATATGGTAGAACTTAGAGGAATTTGTAGTTGACATCTCTTTTTTTCGATTTACGAACGGTGGTGTTCACGCTTGTAAGTGTTCAGATACGCTCATCCAAACGTCCACCTCCTCGTTTCTATCATCGTTAGAGTGAGATCTGTTGTTTTTCTAACTAAATATAATAAATATTTTGCATGTGCTCTATATTATTGGATACTGACTTATATTACGGTGAAGGTTTCCTGATCAGGAGTTTGAAAAGAATGCGCGGGTAGAATTTTCACTCCGCCTTTTCGGATTTTTCCGAGTTTCTTTGTGGTACAAATCCAATATAGACTTTGAGTCACTTCTGCTTGAACCATTAGTCCTCTTTGAGACGAGGAAAAAACGATGAGAAATTGCAAAAGGACGTTAACCTTTGATTGAATACCTCACAAGGGTTGGGAAGGGAAACTGGACAAATCCGAACTGTAAGATATTGGTGCAAATTGCTGAGAGAAAATAACATTGACAGAGGAAAGAGAGCATCTTTGAGTCAGTTTATTTTTCAAATCTCTGATTTGCTGTCGTTAAAGCCTGGGATTGAGAAGGTTCGACAAAGGCAAAAACATGGAAAATGTTTAGTTTGAATGGACGCTGACTTTGGAGGTTAAAAACTGACAGCTTCGACAAAGTCCCTCAACTTCCTTGGAACTGATGAAATCATTTTTTTAAAAATGTACTGTGTCATGGTACTCCAGTCACTGCCACCCACCAAAGTAAAATTAGAAGTCGCTGGATCATTCAGCAATATAGCAACCGGTTTGAAAAAGTGCGCTTTTAGCCTTCAATTCCATCAGTTTTCATTGCCATAATTTGACAACAACAATTTTCGCTTCATGCATTATTGAAAATCGTATGATCTTTTCCATTCGAGTTATATTAGGTTGGTAACTAGGTTTTGCAACTCTTTTCATAACGCTCTCTTTGGAGTTGCGCACTCAAACTTTGGTAGATATTATGTAAAGCGTAATGCGTTTTACACCTGCGCATAAACTATGTTAATTTCGATAACGAATTAGAAAAGCTAGACGCGTCTAGAAAACTAAAGACTTTGAAGGCACTGTCCGGACAAGATGGGGGTTTTGGGATTTCAGTGCCATGCGAGAGCGGTCCCCCTCAGACACAACATCGCGCAAGTGCGACGTCATAACGCTCGACCTAAAACAAGAAAAACGACTGGAAACTGGGGAAACTTACGCCTTGAGGCGGGGTCCTCCGAGCTGTCCGAATTCCTGTCATGCGGAAGAGTACGCATGCCTTAAAATGTAGGGTCCCGCAGCGACTCTGCGTCCCTGCCCTGGAGAGGACCGTCGAATTTCAAATTGTGCGGCTTTGGAAAACGTATGTTCTCGCCGTTTTCGCACTTTCTAATGTGGATTTTCTGATCCAGCGTAGCGGATAACCCCCGGTAATGGATTTTCTAGAAGTCGAGTTTTCGCCCGGACACTGCCTTTAAGAGTTTTCGGGATTGTAAGCCAGAATGAAGCATTAGCAACCTAGACCATGCAAAATGATCCCAAATTGTGTGTAAAGTACTGTTAAAGATTAGTTTAATTTACTCAATAAAAAAGAAATGAAATTCAAGGATAGCTGGAGGTTTGACGCTCTCACAAACTTGAACGAGCAGCTGACAAAGCTGCTGGGAACAACCGGCAATAAAAGGAGACCTCAAAACTCGTCGAGACTTCGCATATCGGGGCTATTGGGCCTGATAAACACGAATATCATGTGTATTTATTGAATCAATGCTTTGTTATTGATTATTGTGGGACCTTAAACGGCAAACTTACAATAATCTTACAAAAACCCTCTTACCATGCAATTTCGGTACTGTTTTTGTGATCAGCATCTCGAATACCCCCATGTATGATTTTTCTCCTTGTACCATGCACCTATCGTAACTTACTTAGATACTTAGATGGCCCGTCCTCACGTGACGTACGGGCCCCAGTACGTATCCAGCTGATTTCTCAGCTGGTCCATCCGTTCCACGAACACGTCTGCCCATCTCGTTGGTGGTCTTCCTCGGGGACGTTTGGCTTCGCGAGGAATCCACTCCGATGTTCTTAGTGTCCATCTGTCGTCTGTTCTTCTCATTATGTGACCGGCCCATCGGTGTTTGGCTTTCGCGATGTATTCCGCTGGGTCACGAAGACGGGACATTCTTCTCATATCCGTGCTGCGAAGTCCGATTAGATGTTGCTTGCGGCGGGTCATCTTCAGAAGACTGCGCTCGAGCGCTCTGTGGGTGGTCCGTAAAGCTTTCGACGTGGCTACAGTGTCGCCCCAAGTCTCAGCTGCGTAACAGAGCGCCGGGAGAACGGTTGAGTTGAACAGATGGGCACGAAGCTCCGGATCCGTCAGTTGGTCGGTGGCTTCCTTCAGAGGCCCGAAGGCGGCCCAGGCTGCTCTTCTTCTCCTGTTAAGTTCTTCCCTCAAGTCGTTCTCCATGTTCATCGAACGTCCGAGATACACGTAGGAAGACGTCTCCATAATCGGGGTGCCTTCCAATTCTATTTCTGCATCTTCGCAAAGGGCGTTCTTCATGAACTGAGTCTTCTTCCGATTTATTCGCAGTCCGATCTTCTTCCCTACTTCGTTTAGTTCCTTCAGCACCGTCTCTGCTTCGGTGATACTGCTCGAGAAGAGAACGATGTCGTTCGCAAAACGAAGGTTGGACAGGAATCTCCCATCAACTCGTATGCCTCTCTCGTCCCAGTCCAGTGACTTCATCAGCCACTGCAAGGCCGCGGTGAACAGCTTCGGCGAATTGTGTCGCCTTGTCGGACCCCCTTCCCGACTGGTATGGTCAGGGGGCATGGAATAGCTGCATCGTCGTTGTACAGTCCTTGTAGCAGTCGGCTAACGTCCTCACGTAAGCTGGGTCCACTCCTTGATCGACTAGCGCAGACAGGATGGCGTTGGTTTCGACGCTGTCAAAGGCTTTCTCGTAGTCGACAAAGGTTAGGACGAGAGGCAGTCGGTACTCCCGGCAGACTTCTATGACCCTCGAAACGGTCTGGATGTGGTCCATGCAGCTGAATCCTTTGCGAAATCCAGCTTGTTCTTGGGGTTGGGCTTCATCCAGTGTCCTTGATATGCGAGCGAGGATAATCTTCGTGAAAAGCTTGTACAGCACACTCAGCAATTATATTGGACGATAGTTCCGAAGATCCTCCCGTTCACCCTTCTTGAAGAGAAGGACGGTTCTTGACGTTCTCCACTGGTCGGGAATCTTCTCCTTCTGAAGATAAGATGCCAAATGCGACGCTAGAATCTCGTGTAGACGGTGTCCTCCGGCTCGCAGAAGTTCGACGGAAAGATGATCGGGTCCTGGAGCCGTGGACGTCTTCATGGTCTGTATCGCGATACGCACTTCAGCAGGTAGAATTCGTGGTGGTACTTCTCCAGTGGGAACAACGGGCATATGCACGGGTGTTGATGAGCGGAAGAGGTTAGTGTAGAAGTTCTTCGCGATAGATTCCATCTTGTATCGGGAAGAAGTCGGAGTCCCGTCTTCGTCCAGTAGTGCAGCCAGCGGTACGTGATATTCGCAGAGGTCCCTTCGGCACTTCTTGAGACTTCGTCTTCTTTCGGCTGCTTCCAGTATCTTGGCTTGCCTGTACTTCCTGAGATCCTCTTGCAAACTGTTCTGCAACTGGTGTTGGCTATCAGTCGCTCGAGATGAGTTGCATTCGGATCCTGCCTCAATGATCTTCTTCTTTCGAGCAATTCCTTGGTGGTCTTCGGGATGCGGTCCAAGTTCTTCTCAGAAGTCACTGAGGCGCATTCTCCGCAGGCTCGCAATCCTTTCAGAAGCCGGTCGTAGTCGTACGTTGGGTCCTCCTCGATGGCCAGTCACAACTTGATATGAGCTCTTCCAACCTGTTACCGTCATAAACGACGTCCTTCCTTCTCGCGGCACTATGACAGACTTTCTTTTCCAGCCTTCGGCTGAGTCGTATCTTCGCTCGAAGGAGGCGGTGATCGGAGCCACTACAGAAGGATGGAACTACAGATGCATCGAGTAAGCTCCACCTTCGGTTGGTGAGAATGTGGTCGATCTCAGCATGAGTCGTTCCGTTGGGCGATTCCCAAGTCCACCGGCGATATTCTTTCTACGAAGATGGAGTTTCCATGGAAGAGTCGTGCGGCGGAGAGGAGCCCAACGAGACGGTTGCCGTTTTCGTTTCGGAGCCCATATCCAAACTTCCCGATCCTATATTCCTTTTCTAGTGGCATCCCGATTTTCGCATTGAAGTCGCCCACAACATACTTGTAGAAGGACTTTTCGTTGCGGACGACCTCCTCCACGTCTTCGTAGAAAGCATCTAGTTCTGAGTCGTCAGCTGCTGATGTTGGCGAGTAGCAGTTGATGATACTGATGGTCTTCTGACGTGGAGAGCGTAGTCGTAGGATGCCTAGTCGAGGTGATAGGATTTCGTGCGAATCGACAAGATGGACGATAGATGGATGGACGACAAAGCCGACGCCTCCCACGTTTCGTGATGGAACCTTTTCACCACGAATGATGAGGGTCCCATCACTCATCTGTCGCACGTCCTTCTTCCTGGACTTCGTTTCCTGCAGAGCGATGATGTGGTAGTTGATGTGCTCTGCAGCGTCGAGAAGAGCGTGGAGGTCGGCGTTTGTGGAGACTGTCCTGGCGTTGTAGGTGCAGAGCATGAGGCAGTCTCCATGGCGTGTCGTCCGGGCAGACGTGTCGTTTTTGTCCAATCCGAAAGGCGCCCTGAGTACCTGACATCGTTCTTGCTACCACCCGGCGCCGTAGGCGGGATACGATGTGCAGGGTTTCTTTCTAATCTTCTAACTGGAGGAGTAATATGAATTTTCCCCTACAAGAGGTGGCTTACTAGGCCTACTCTTGATTTCCACGGGGCGATCGCTGACCCCGGCTTGGAGCGGGGAGGGACCGCCTAGCGACCAGAAGAAGCCAGACGGCGGAGGATCTGGCGTGGCCAGTTCTTAGCATCCGGCCGAAACCGGAAACGTCGAACTCCTTCACAGCTTGGGAGGCCCTACCAGAGTATACACTCGGCTGTGCATCGCAGTTCGACACCCAGTGTCACCCCCACGCCACAATGAGGCGACCGACCATTGTGGGGGCCTACCGTAACCCTCACTCCGATATCTGAATTTGGCAG